GATGCGGGGCTCGATCCCAGGACCCCGGGATCATGACCTGAGCCGAAGGCAGACGCTTAACGACTGAGCCCCCCAGGCGCCCCCACATACTTCGTCTTGAGGAAACCCCGGAGAAAGCTGGTTTGGAATTGGGCTCTCTGCTCCCAAGGCAGGTGGTATCCCCGAGTACTACAGGAGGATTTCGGGGAACAGAGTTGATCTTCTGCCTGCCCTGGGGGTACCTGGTGTGTTTCTGGGGCTCCCTTAACATCTCAGATTTCTAGCTGTTCCTAAATCTCTCTTTCGGAGAAAACGTTCCTGCTGAAGGTGACGGCATCTTCTGTCCCCAAGGGAGGGGCTGGCCGCTGGCCCCTCTGCTTGCCTTCTCCCTGATGCCCAGAGCTCCTGTGAGTGCCTTGTCCGAAACCCCCGTGCCTGGGACCCCAGAGTCTGCTGGACACTGTCCAAGCGACACCCCAAAAAGTAAATGAAACAGTTGAAATATGTGATTTCTTGTGTGTCTTTGTGAGAGGTTAGGGTCCACCGGGGTGATCCTTGGCCTAGGAGACAGCAGTGGGCAGAGGGGGCCCAGAATCACTGGGATTCCTGTCCTTGGTATGTGACCCGGTGCCCAGTCTGTGGTGGCAGTTATGAGTGCGCTGAGTTAAGAATAAGATTTCTGTTCTGAACATTCTCCTTCCTCACAACACACTACCTTTGTTCTGATGCACAGAGAGTTGGAGTAACTTGCCTATGGTCACACAGCAAAGTGGGTGGCGCTGGGATTTGAATCATGATCAGGTTGCCGCAGAGCACGTGCAAACATTCCCACTCCCTGTGTGTTGTCCCCACAGCCCTGACACAGAGTGCTGTTACCACCTTTTACAGATGGGGAAACTGAGGCTCTGCCAGTTGATGCCCTTTGTCCCATGTGTCACGGCCAGGGAGGAGTGGGCCAGAACGTCAACCCAGGCCAGCTTCTCTGGAGCTGAAAAATGTCCAGTCTGTTGGGACCTGGGTCAGGAGAAACTCTTCACGAGGCTTTGAAATTTGGAGGAAAAAAACAGTCAACAGTTCTAGACAGAGGAAACTTCAGAATCCTATCCCAGGCTTAGAAATGCCAGGAAAACAGATGGCCAGCCAGGAGCTGGATGTATGTGAGATCTCCAGTATGGAGTCGCCCCCTACAACCTTACGCACCTCCTTGCCCCCTCTTGGTTTGATTCCCTTATTCAGTAATGGAGGCTAGTGAATGTTGGCATCTCGCCATCATTGATCTTGCAGGGATGCCTACGAGGACAACACCCCCTTTGCCCCAGTCAGCCCCAGGTTAGATCAGATCTAGGCACTGGTGGCCCTCGCTGCCCTGTCCCTACCAGTCTGGATTACTCAGGTTCTGGCTCGCCTTCGGGGCCTGGCCTCTGCTCTGACCCCTGTTACTGAGCACTTACTATGTGTGCCAAGCTGGTGAGGCAAGAGGCCCATTTTCCCAACAGCCCCCGTCAGGATGGAAATGACAGTGGCAGGAACCAGTGTGTTTACTAAGCACTTGAATGCCCGGAGCATCACAGGCTGGGGGTGGGGGGGAGATTTGGACCCATAGCTGGGTGATAATGTCACGCATAGAAGCTGAGACTGAGACTCAGGGGGGCCCGAGTCTCCCCAGTGGGTGCATGGTGGGGGTGGGGAGAGGTCTGACCCTGTTCCTCCAGGGGAGACTTGCTGTGCAGCCCCCCAGCGTGTCCTTATGCCTCTCACCTGCACACACTCTGTCCCACTTTACACATCCCCTCCATCTGCCTCACACAGCCGCTCATCTTCTCTCTGGCCAGGAAGCTAGAAGCAGGCACAGGGGCTGGGGCCAGGGGGCCTGAGCCGTGGAGAAGGGGCTGAGGGGAAGACCTGGGTCTTTCTGGGGCACCCCTTGCCCCTCCACCATCTGGTGGCTGGACCTGACACCAGCCCTCCCTGACCTAAACCCCAGCACTCTGATTCCCTGCCATCTCTGTTCTGGGCCCAGCCAAGGGACTGTGTCCCAGAGTAGCTTCATCTCCATCTAAGTCTTCAGAGACCTCCAGTCTGGGGAAGACAGGGCCAAGCACAGATAGTATCAGTGCTGGGAGGTCAAGGCTGGGCTGGAGGAGAGGATGGGGGTTGGGAGCACCCAGCTGAGTGTCAGAGAAGGCTTTCTGGAGGAGGGGCTTTTTGAGTAGGGTTTTGAGGAATGAGTAAGAGTTCCCCCACAGATAATGATGAGAGCCTGCAAACACACCAGTTAACCACATACCTCCTATGCATCTGGCCCTGTCCTTTCTATCTCATTTGAACTTCTCTCCAGTTTTCATTTTCCAGATGAAGAAACAGAGATGGGATGGAGAGGACTGGACTTGCCTGAGGTTGTACTTTCTGGCCCTTTCTCTTCTGCTTCCTTTGTTTTTCAACATCCTTAGCCTTTGGCCCTAACCGGGAAGAGAGAGAGAGAATCCCATGAGGGAGAAGGCCACCACTTAAGGTGCTGCGGTGGAATTTAGCACATAGCTGGTGGCTAATAAGTCTTCTTTGACAAAAGCATTCTTTCCACCAGTCCACCAAGCTGGGAGGAAGTGCCCATCTCATAGAAGAGGATACTGAGACTCAGAGAGGCTTCTAGGGGGTAGGTACCCCCGCTTCTCCAGGAGAACCCCCCCCATAAGGACCTCCCCCTGAAAAAGCAGCCCAAGACTCAGCCAACTATGGTCCCTGGAGTGTTTACTCTGCACCCAGGGCGGAAGGGACCAGGCAGGCGGGGGCGGACAAAGTCCGGGGATTATAAAGGCCAGTCCAGCAGCGTCCGGTGTCTCAGTTCAGAGCTCAGCTAGCACTGGCATGCCTGGACACGGACTGACGCCACCGCACGGCTCTCTGATGCTGCTGATGCTGCTGATGTTCTCGTGGCTGCCTTCGGGAGGCGCCCTGTCTCTGGCCCAGGAGCACCTCCCGGCCTTTCCGGGACCCTCAGACGCACACTCCAGCACGGATGTCTCCAGAGTCCAGGAGTTTCTGAAACGCTACGAGCACCTGCAGACCAGGCTGCGGTTGAACCAAAGCTGGGCTGATTCAAACCCTGACCTCGTCCCTGCAGCTCAAGTCCGGATACTCACTCCAAAGCGTGAGTGAAATCTAAGAGACCTCTGTCCCCTGGGCAACTACCATCATTTAACCAGTGGTTCTGAGTCATAGGGACCCAGGCCTGCCCCTGAGCCTCAGTTTCCCCATCTGTGAATCAGACAAGAACATCTCCCCTTGGGGCTGATGGGGGAGGCTGTGGCCTGGTTTACGCCGAGACAATGTGAGGCTTGGCCAAAGTGAGATGTTAACGATCGCAGATGGGGAAACTGAGGCTCAGAGAAGCTAGGGATTCTTTTGAAAACTCACAGAGCCTGGAATTCCCAGAGACAAAGTCAGGCAGCAGGGAGTGGGTGGGTGGGGGGTCCTTGTCCTTGGATGTATGGGGGAGGGCGCGCAATCCAGGAGAAAGGATGCCAGAGAGCAGGGAGCGGGCGGAGCAGACAAGAGGAGCAGGCGGAGCGGATGAGAGGAGCGCAGCCTAGCGATAGGTGGAATCTGCCCGTACTGGTTCCACATCTGACGCAATCCTTTGACACGGCACTGCTCAAGTCGCACGTGGCATGTGCCCTAGGGAGGGAGGAGATATTTTCTCACCCATCCACGGAGGATCTAGGGGGAAGAGAGGGCAGGAGGCGATCTGGGCTACGCTGGGAACTGGGAGGGGTTAGGGGAAGAGTGTCAGGCCAGGAGGGAGCGCTACTATCTCGCCCTAATCCTACTAGAGCCGTGAGACTCCAGATAATCGTCTTGTCCTCTCTGAGCCTGGTGACCGCTGTCCAGGGCCCTCAAACCCTAGTCCCCACAGTATCTCCAACACCTGTACCAGCCTAGGGATCTGAGAATCCTGAGGATCCAGATATCCTTCATTTCTCAGATATGGAAACCAAGACCCAGAGAGTTGAAAACACAGTAGCTAGTCCCAGCACTTAGTAGGCCTTCAGTGAAATGTTTTTGACTGCCACAGGAGGCAGAACCAGTGTTTGGATTTTAGTCCCTCTAAATATCATGTATACGTTAATTCCTGCAAATATTTTTATTTTTTTAGATTTTATTTATTTGAGAGAGAGCGAGAGAGAGAGAGCACAAGCAGAGGTGGGGAGGGGCAGAGGGAGATGGAGAAGCAGACTCCTGGCTGGGCAGGGAGCCCGACATGGGGCTGGATCCCAGGACCCTGGCATCATGACCTGAGCGGAAGGCAGAGGCTTAACCGACTGAGCCACCCAGGCGCCCTAATTCCAGCAAGTATTTACTAAGCACCTACTGTATGCCAGACATGGTGGTGACAAAGCAGGCAGAAATCCCTGGTGAGGGGATTCAGTAGGGAAGATGAAATGATACACAATGAAATAAAATAAAATAGCGCAGTGCCTATTTTAGGCAGCGTGGAGGGATAGGTAGCCTGCCATGCTGAGATTCAGGGGAATAGTGTGCTTGGAAGAGGAAGCAGCTTGTGCAAAGGCCCTGAGGTGGGATGCGGCTTGGCGCGTGGGAGGAAATGGGCACTCGGCACCTGGCGCACAGTAGGCATGTGGTTGACTGGTTTTCCTCTCTTCCTCAGTGCGACTTGGACCGGGCGGCCACCTGCACCTGCGCATTGCCCGGGCCGACCTGACTGAGGGTCTCCCCGTAACCTCCCGCCTGTATCGGGCGCTGCTCAGGCTGTCCCCGACGGAGCCGAGCTCGTGGGACGTGACTCGGCCGCTGCAGCGTCAACTCAGCCTTGGAGGTTCCCGGGCGCCCACACTACGCCTGCGAGTGTTGCCTCAGTGGGACCGGTTGAGAGCGACGTTGCCTTCTGCACGTCCTCAGCTTGAGCTGCACTGGCGGCCACGCGCGGCCAGGGGGCGCCGCAACGCGCATGCGCACGTCGGGGACGGTTGCCCCCTCGGGGAGGGGCGCTGCTGCCGCCTGCAAAGCCTGCGCGCGTCGCTCGAGGACTTGGGTTGGGCCAACTGGGTGGTGGCGCCTCGCGAGCTAGACGTGCGCATGTGTATTGGCGCGTGCCCAAGTCAGTTCCGATCGGCTAACACGCACGCGCAGATGCAGGCGCGCCTGCACGGCCTGAACCCCGATGCCGCGCCTGCGCCGTGCTGCGTGCCCGCCAGCTATGAGCCGGTGGTGCTCATGCACCAAGACAGTGAGGGTCGCGTGTCGCTTACGCCCTTCGACGACCTCGTGGCCAAGGACTGCCACTGCGTATGAGCGGTCCTAGTCTTTCACTTAACGGCTCGTGAGCAATGGAAGTGACCTCAGAGATCCTTGCCTGTCGAATGGGCTTGTGGGACCTGAGATGCCCGATTCCCACCACTGCTGTCTACCCCGTCCCGCCCAAACCTCTGTATTTATAAGTTTGTATTTATTATTAATTTATTGGGATGATCTCCCTGGGGACTGGAGGGCTAGGGAGGGCTGGTCTGACGGTGTGCACTTATTTAAACTGTGGTAATAAAAATGAAGCTGTCTGACCTGAGCCCCGTGATGTCCAGGATGAAGCTGGTGACCCTGGGAAGAACCTTCCCCTCCTTGGCCTCAGTTCTCGCGGGGGACCTGGTATCAGGGTGAGTGGAACCATTCAGGGAATGCGTGGTGGAGCGTTCTGGCATGTCAGGCAATTGGATGGTGCTCATGACACCGATGCACCTCAAGGACAACCCTTCTCTCTGTCTCTGCTTCTCTATCTCCTTGTGTCTCTGTTTCTGGGTGGCAGTCTCCCTCCATATCTCATCTCTAAGTATTCCTGTTTCTGTAGTTATATGGCCCTGTCTCTATCACCGCCGTGCAGTCTCTTCTTGCATTGGAGTCACCTTTCCAAACACAGGCAGCCTAGAGTCATGTCCGTCTGCAGCCAAGTGTATTGTGTGTGATGTTGCCCTCGACCTAGAAGAGTCCCATCGCTTCTTTTGGGGGCACCTCCCTCCAAGGGCCAGGGGGGCCACGCCCTGTGCAGCTAAGGCGACTAGGAATTCTGGGGTTCTGCCTGCGCTTGGTTTCCACCAGCCCACAAGCAACAGCATGGCAGCCATCCCCTCCATCTGCTGGCTCCAGACCACGCATGGCCATTACTGGCGCCGTCTGGGTTCCATTTCCAGTAACAGCTCCTGCGGAAGTGCAGAGTATCCTGGGGAAGCCATGCCTCACCACCCCAGCTCTCCCCAAGGCTAACCCGGGTCACTGGTGGGCAAGCTTCTTTTTCAGGAAGTCCACTCTCCTGTTCATGACTACAGTGTTGGAGTCCCCAGAGCCCTCAGGATCTCTCCAGGCCTCCAGCGGCTGGATCACCTACAACTTGGCTCTGGAAGCTGTGAGGAAGCAGCTCGATGGCCAGCCTGGCAAAGCCAACACCCCGCCCCAGTCCTGTGGCCACCCCCAGCCACCAGGCCTCAGGAGGCGCTAGGCTCATCAGAGCCTTTCCCCTCTCCTCCCTTCCCCTTCCCCTAGATTAGGCAGGCTGCAGCAAGCAGAAGCAGTTGGGTTTTTTTAATATCAAAACACCAAAAAGGAAGTTGAGAGAACCCCACTCTTTACTATCCACGCCACACGCATGCCTCCCTGACACCCTATAATTGTGTGCCTTGCACCAAGTAGAAAATAAACTCCAAGCAGCCAGTTAAAAAAGAAAAAACAAAAAAAGCAGGAGGAAATAAATACGTTGTGAAGAACATTTTTGTGCACACAGCATCTCCCATGTTATATAGTCTTCCTACTTAGGATCTTGGAATCCCTGAGATGTGCCAGGTCCCCCCTTCCCACACCCACGTGCCTGTTCACCCTGAGAATCTCCAAAAGGAAATGTTATGGGGGTCTGGGGGACAGAGTACCTACTTCCAGCAGTGAGTGAGGTGTGTCCCCTGTGAATGCTGCCACCCAGAGGCAGACCTGAATGATTGTAGGTGCCCATGAATGTATTCAGTAAATGCCCGCTTTGTGCCAGGTCTTGACTGGGCACTCAGGACACAGAAGGAACAAGACAGGGGTGCCTGGGTGGCTCAGTCATTAAGCGTCTGCCTTCAGTTCAGGTCATGATCCCAGGGTCCTGGGATCGAGCCCCGCATCGGGCTCCCTGCTTGGTGGGAAGCCTGCTTCTCCCTCTCCC